CAATACCATTGGCAGTGGTGATGTTTGGTAATTTTCAAATATTTCTTAACGAACAGAGGCGTTAAGCGTTAGTCAAGTATTGTGACTATAAAGACGATAGAATATATCTATAAATAGCTATTCAAATGACAGAAAATATATATAACGATGCAAATACGTTTCCACCCTGTTCATTACAACAGCCCTTTTTAATTTTTTTGGGGGTAGAAAGTACTGCTTTGATTTATGGTTTTAACCTTCATATGCCTCCAGGAGGATAATATACGCTATCTTTTCTAATATTGCATAGAAAATACGCCAAATCAAGTGACCTTTCCGAATATTAACGAGGTAATCCCAAGTAAGAGAGTACCCTTAACAGCATCCCCTCATAAAATCATAAAAAGAAGGCAAAGATGAGAGGCGGAAGAAATGTGAACCCCGAGCAAATCGAAAAAGTTTTCGCTTAGGCCTTATCCACACATTAAAAACTTGGCAGCTTGTTATGTTCCGAGTCAAGAGCCGATGTAGTTTCAAGAATGGGCTGGGAAGAATGGGAACCCTCTTCCAAATTAAATCCACAAACTGTAGACAAAATGCAATAAAATAAATTGCAACAATATCCGCAGAAACCGAAGCAAAGAACAAAATAGAACTTCCTTATAAATGATGTAGCAAAGGTGCTGCCCTTTTTTCGGTGGGTTGTTTTTGGAGTGAATGTAATATAAATTTCCCAAGGAGCTGCAGGCTACAAGTAGACCCAGCCAAATGAAAGGTGACAGCCTGAAGAGAGAGAAAGAGAGAGGGAGGGAGAAGGGCAGTGACTATGGCTTAACAATAGTTCAGGAAAAATAAGTTAAAAACGAGTGAGAAAAACTTAAGTGCCCGTTAAATTTCCCAGCGGACTAATGATAAAAGTTACGCGACTACAGCTGCCTGCCTGCCTGCCTGCCAGTACGCCTCTCCGGCGCTACCTTTCTCCACTAAACCTCCGTTGGAATGCCTTCCCTTCCGGAATCCTTCCCGGACACGTTGCACCATTCCTCTCTTGGCTTGTCGGATTTGTTTGCTCTTTAACCCTTTCCATTTGCCGCTTGTTCATTGTTTTTTCCCCTTCTTTATTTATTTTTTTTGTTGTTCTTTTTTCTGGCCGGGAGTAGCGGTAAATACATTGCGGCATTCAAGTTAATTTACCACAAGAAAGGAGCCAGAAAGGAGCCTGAACGGAGTGGAAAAGGAGTAAGAGAACGTTGCCGAACGGGAACAGAGGCCGGGGCAAGAGCCAGAGCCACAGGAAAGAAAAGCTGCCAAGGAAAAAAATGCAATGAAAATTATGTTGAACCAGCAAGGGATCGTAATTAGTTTACTGCCATTTAACTTGCTACATTAGTTGCAATTAAGGAGTAAATATTGTTCATTTAATGTTTAATTCATTTGAATTTTATAAACTGTTTGCGGCTATCGTTTTGCGAGGCTATGTAGAATTCTGAAGAGGGAGAGATCTAGTGGAATACAAAAATTTATTGGAGCACTAAAGTGCTCTCATAGAGGTCTCAAAGATCTGTTGGATTAGGTATTTACTTAGGTCTTAAATTTGAAGTACCTCTCTTCACATTGTCTATGCTTTATATATGGATTTCCTTCATTGTCGTTGAGGGATAAAAATATCTTGTTGGTCTGTTATCTTAATTGAAACTACAAAGCTTGCTCTGAAGTTTTCTCCCTATGCTATAACTAATCCTTCATATTTGGGACATCACTTTACATCTTACAGCTTAATTGCGCAAGTGTCCTCTATACATTCTCGGCACTACGAAAATCTCCAAAACTCATTGAAATATTTCAAGTATTTTCCCCAATTTAATTGATGCGTACTGCTGTTGAACCTTCCGCTTAAATATTTTACTTTTTATGTCTCAGTGTTTGCCCCGGTTCATGGTGTTGATTGTGCCTTTTTGATTTTTGTTTGTTATGTGCTTTGCATAATTTAACACTTTGCCTTAAAAACAATCAAATTGTCAAGTGTCAAAAGGTTCGTGCCCGAGCAGAGCAGAGCCATGGCCATAGTCAGGGCTTTTTCCCTACGTGTTTGTTGGAAAATGTGCATAAAAATGCATTAAATATGTAGTTGTAATTTGCACACTCACACACTGAAAGTGTGGATCCGGAGCCCCACCCTTAAGTGGATGCTTGTGTGCAATATTTTGCATTTGGCTGCCAGTTTTTCCGGTTTACTCCGACCACAAAGTGTTGGCCATTAACCGTAGAGCAGCCTTCTCCCTGACCTGCCTGACCCACTGACTGACAGACAGACAGACAGATAGACAGACAAACAGACAGACATGCAGAAGGAGACTGAGAGAGACGTGGGCTGACGCGTGTTAATTTGAATAAATTATTAAAGCACGTGATGAGCGCGACCTTTCAACCAATTGTGGCAGCCACTACCCCTACTGCTCACCCACACTTAACCGAACGAGCTCCCAACTGGATCCCCCGCATGCCAAGTGCAATTAAGCACGAAAAAACCAATCAAACTGGAAATAAATTGCACCATAGTTGCAACAGCCGCAGCATGAAAGCTCGCCGAGAGACCAGGGCTGCCATACGGCGCACATTTTTTCTGCTGAGCCAGCAAAATGCCTCCCTCAAGGTATATTTTCCTCAAGGTAAGGTAGTACAAGTCTGTATATGCTGTCTGCATATGCTGTCTGTCAGCATCCGCGCATATGAAGGCCCCACACTCACCGAAGTTTAGAAAATCGGATTTTTCGGACAGTTTTTTCTTGTGTTCAATATATCCTGCACTCTTTGGGTGTGTATGGGTGTGGGCCTCTTTTTTTGGTGTTCGCTGGGGGTTTCCCCTTTTATTGTGGCCGCTGGGCGAAAATTGTTTGCATTGCATTCTCTGCTGATGCATGCGAATCGAGAAATATTTGCAATTTAGCAAAATACACCCGGAAGCGGTCCCGGATTGAAGCTGGAGCTGACGATTGCCATAATGATTGCGATTCGGTCGCCTATTTGTATTTGGTCTTTGCATTTCGCATTCGTGCTCCACTTTCAATCGCCCTCGAAGTGCGTGCAAAATGATGGCAATTAATGTGTTGCTCTTGTCGTTTTTTTCTGTTGTTTTTTAAATCTTTTTTTTTGTACCTGGAAAGCACTGCGGGAAATGTGATGTCAATAATTTGGAAAAATTGTGTGTTTTTCCCCGAAGCGGTTGATAAATATTTTTGCTTGAAAAAGAAATTCAACGTTTTTTTGAACTAAATACACATTCAATAAAGTCAAGAGAGGTCAAGGATTGGATGACAAAGTGGTAGAAATCAGAAGGGAAACTTTAAACATTAATTTTTAAATTTAATAACAAAGTGTGGATTGGAAAATTGGATCGTGTATATGAATAAATAGAAATAACGAAGAAATATTTAATATCTCTGAGACCTTTTTGTCAGCCGAAGAAAATAGCTGAGGTAAAGCTATGTGATATTCCCTTAGATGTTTAATCTGATCTGTGCCTTCAGAGATTCTCAACGCAATGCAAGTCTAACTTTATGTAATACATATAAAGCATTGAAAATGGATACATCGTTTGGCAGAAATACCCTTATACACTACGCCAGCCCGGGATCAATTGTTGAGTGCAGTGATGCAGGAAAGGATAGAATAAAGTATAAATACAATTTGTATGCTTGATGTAATTTCATTTCCACTTATCTTGGTATTTTCTCTGCATTTTCCTTCATGCGATTGATTTATCGCACAGAAAATAATAGGCAGCCAATGTCTGTGCATCCTGTCGAAGGACTCCACCCATATCTATACATCCGTTCTATCCTCTGAGCCTCTGCTTCAGAGGGGTTCAGTTTATATTCAAATGCTTACGCTTAAATGTCAATAATACGTGAAATTGAACTGCCAATTCAATCTCCACAACTACTTCGTTCGCTCCTTGGTTCGAAATCATTTCCATATAAGCGTTTTCCCATCTCTCCTTTATTTATATACATATATTCCTCTTTTTGTTGAGCAAATTCTTTCTGTTCATATGTGGAAAAAACTATTTGCAAAAGTCTCAAGTGTGTTTGGGGTGGGGCTTGGGATTTTTTTAAACGACGGGCTGCAAATTGTACGCAGATCACATTACACTTGCTCCAGCGGACTGCATGTGCAACTGCAACTCCAACTCCGACTCCGACTCCTGACTGCCACTAGGAATCGCTTCACATTTGGCTGCACTTCCCTGAGCCAGCCGTAGCCCCGCATCCCAATCGCGTTTCCCCATTTCTTCTATTCATTCGAAAAATTGAAAGATTTATTTCTTAGTTCTTTGCGATTACATTTCCACCGAGCTAATGTGTTCCGATCCAACGGCTACGTCGTGTCGTGGCAGTTTGTCAACTGTCATTGCATCAGACATTGAATGGCAGACCAGTGAGAAGAGAAGAGAAGGAGGGGAAAGAGGAGGTCCCAGATACAGAGTCGCATTTCGTTGACAACTACATTGCAAATACGGCAAAGTAATCAGTATTGTGTAAATAACAAGTTATGTGTCTGGCTCTGACAAAGCGAGTGGTAAGCGATATGCAATCAAGCGAGGATAAACCCCTGAAAGGGTGCAGAGGAACGAATAAATCCTATGAAAGGGTGAATAGAATGAATGGGGGAAAGTCAAGGCTATGGCATCTTTCCATATTAAATAGAGTGATAAAGGAATTTAATATAATATCAAAAAACTAATATTTTGTATGACAATTGGATATACATATTTGATAGCATACTTTTCAGCGCTTATCCAAATGCTTCTTCAGGTGAACCGGAAATGATTCAATAATGTTAGCAAAGGCCAGCTACTAAGCATCTTAAATTTAAAATGAAAGAGAAACGATTTCAACGCTTCGTTTAGTTGCCTTTTCAATGGGCAGTTGTCAGACTTCTGGACGAAGGCAAATCATCGAGACGAGGTGAAAATATCCAAGAAAACTTGGTCAGCGGGCCAGTTAGCCGCGACGCTTGCCAATGAGAGGTTGTGTGAAGTGAAGAACACAATACAAAATTTCAATTGGTAAAGAATATTAATTGACCTAAAATATTTTTCAATTCTAGCATAGATCTCTGTACGAGTATGTACATACATATATCCAATTGTAGCCGTTTCAACGCAAATGGATACCACGCTAAAAGGCTTCGATTAATCCAGTAAACTTCGTTACTCATCTCAAGTCCCTCGAAATGGTTCCAGAAACCCTACAGGAAATCATCATAAATTTATGCAAATTATTTTCCCCACGAAAACGTTATGGAAGCAGACACGTCTTCGTGGCGCCACGGAAAACACAAAATCAATTAAATTGATCGATTGCTTGGAAAACGGGTAGAAAACAGACTTAAAAAAGAACGATGAAATCTTTGTTGAGCTTTCACATTTCGCCCAGTTTTCTTTTACGTTTACCTTATTTGCCTTCACACGTCGTTTTGTTTGCACAGGGACACCCCTTCTGTATTTCCTAGACAATGACCCAATTCAAGGTCAGGCTTCCCAAATGCTTACTTCTTATTCTATCTTTTTTTCTTTTTCAGTGGGTTGCTGACCATGAAATGGAAAGTCTTCTGCTATCTTTTACACTGAGCACAGGACAAGAGGAAAGCTAAGGGGAAAAGTGCCACAAAAGATTTCACTTTGAACATTGAGCGGATAGCTCTAGTGGGAACCATAGAAAACTTCAGACATGGAGCAAGGTGGAACTGTTGAACCAGTGGTGGTAGCCGCGGTGGCTTCTGCTTCTCCTGCCGCAGCGCCTGTGGCACCCCAACCTGTTGCTGCCACAGTGGCAGCAGTTGCGGCACCTGCTCCCGTGGTTGCTGCAACCCCTGTTGCTCCTGCTCCGACTGTAACTTCGCCGACAGTTGCTGCCCCGTCACCTGCTACCACACCAACTCCCCATCCAACGGCAACAGTTGCCACTTCAGCAACAATTCCTGCCCCAATAACTCAAACTGCTGCTCCGACTCCAGCTGCACCCATTGCTTCACCGATACCGAATGTTTTGCCTCCAACTACTGCTGTTGCTGCTCAGAGCCCATCTGCTGAGCTGCAAGCTGTTGTCCAACCCATTGCTGCGTCAACTCCAGCTACTGGGTCGCCTGTACTTGCTCCAACGATTGTTTCTCCACCAGCTGTTGCGGCGATTCCCGCTACTGCGGCCACAGTACTGGCTCCAACGCCTCCTAGTCCAGCGGCTGCCACTCCAACAGCCGTGCCGATTCAAGAACCAGCTGTTGCCGCCCCTCCTGTTGGGACTACCACTATCGATGCACCTGTCCAGACTCCAATAGCGACCCCGGAACCAGTCGCTGCTGCTGTTCAGATAGCTCCACCGATTTCAAAACCAGTTGCTGCCATAATAGAAACACCAGTGGCTGTTCCTTCTGTCGAGTCTCCAGTTGTGACTCCAGCGGTTGTCTCGCAACCCGTTATAGTCGCCGTGCCAACTTCTGTACCAATTGCGGAAACAGTTCCTGCTGCTGCAGTAGTACCAGAGCCAGTCCCGGAGCCAGCTCTAGCCACCGTAGAAGCACCTGTGCCCACTCCGGTACCCCAAGCTGCTGCCGTCCCTGATACTCCCGTGGTTTCTTCAGGCGAGACAATTAGATCGGAACCGTCTGCTGCTGTTGCAGATGTACATATACCTTCGACAGCTGCGGAACCAGCTATAGCTGCAGTCGTAGCTCCCGTAGCGACACCAGCTTCAGTTATTGCTGCCGTCCCGGAAATCTCTGCTGTTTCTGTTGCTGAAGTAGTAGTCCTGTCTCCGAAACCAGTTATAGTCGCCTTAGAAGCTCCCGTCGAAACTCCAATTATTAACGCTGCCGAATCCACAGCTGCGACTCCCTTAGTAGAGCAAGCACCGACTTCAGAACCAATTGTTGCTGCCGCAGCAGCGATCGTGGAACCGTCTCCTGCTGTTGCAGATATACCTTCGTCCGTGCCGGAGCCTGTTATAGCCGTTTTAGAAGCTCCCACCCCAGCCGAACCAGTCATCGAAACTACTCCAGTCCCTACTGCCGAAACTATTATGGAACCAGCTGTTGCCGTTGCAGATGCACCAGTGGCCACTCCCGAGGCAGTTATAGCCCCTGTAGAAGTTCCAAAACCGATTCCAGAACCTGTTATTGTTACCGAGACTGTACCTTCTACGGAACAAGTCAATGTTCCAAACCCTGCGGCATTAGTTACTCCCGACGTGATAGAAGTTTGTCCAAGTCCAGTGGCATCCGCGGAGCCAGTTCCTGCTGCTAAAGAGGTCGCAAGTCCGTTACCCGATCCTGTTGTTGAAACTCCCACAACCAATCCGGAAACAGTTCTTGCGGCTGCTCCAGCTGATCCAGTAACAGTCGAAATTCCCAATGTGTTGCCCGAACCAACTCCGATTGACACAATTCAGGGGTCTGTTGTGGATCCATTCATTTCTGCTGCTGTTTCCATTGCTGAACTGCCAATACCTGAGGCGCCAGTAGCTGCAGCTGTTATAGAATCGCCAGTAGCTGAAGATGTAGTAGAAAAGCCAAAGGTCATTCCTAGTTCTGAGACTCCACAAGCTGCCGAGGAGCCAAAAGCTGCAGCTCCTGCAGAACCCACAGTTGAAGTACAAGCCACTGCGGAACCTGGTTCTGCTCCTACAGAGGTTGCTGCCGAAACAGAAATTCCGGCAACCATTTTGGAACCATCTATAGAGAATCCCACTGTTCCTACTGCCGAAACTAAAGTGACCGATCAGGACCCAGTTACTGCCGCCGTTATAGAGACTTTAATCCCAAGTCCTCAACCATTAGTTGTTGATGTAGAAGTTTCCGTACCAGAACCACTGGATACAGTAGCTTCTCTCGTTGTCGAAGTACAGATTCCAGTACCAGTTGTTGCAGCCACTCCTGAGACTCCACCGGCCATCATTGAAGCCCCAAAAGCTATTGAAGTGGTTGGGATCTCTGAGGTTCCAGCAGCCATCTCCACTCCAGATTCTGCCGAGGATTCCACTAAAGAACCAATAGATTCTGCATCTGCTGATCCCAGCTCCGTGCCAGTAGCCAAGATAACGCCTCTACTGAGGGATTTACAAACGACAGATGTGTCGCTGTTGGCCATTGCGGCAACCCTAGACGCCATTGGGGAGAAGCTGAAGGACCAGAAGGCTCGCAATCAGCAAGTCATGGACAGACTCTGCGAAATCGAGAAAATACTAGGACCTCCAAAACAAAACTAACTAAAGCAACTTATTACTAGCCTGAAAATAACTATAATAAAGTTGAAAACTAAACGAGTATAAATACGCAAATTCCGATTATTTTAAAGATCCAAAATTAACTTCTTTCACTCCATTTTATTTCATTTGCAACCACTCAAGAAATGAACACTAAAATACTAATAAATCAGAGCTGTTCAAGTTGTGTTTTGCACTCATTATTCTTGGTAATATTCATGAAACCAAAACAAATCGACCATTTGCAGTGTTGGGACACATTTAGGAGGAGTGGCCTCGACCAGGCAATAGAGAGGCAATTTGCTATCAAGGCAAAATTTTCCACGCTAGAAATTAGCATCTAAGAGGAAGACAAAAGAAGGAGCTCCTTGACGACCCAACCTAATAAACTCGCAGAAGGTGCAAATGAATGAATTATATTCCCAATTTACTTCCCCTGTCAGCATGGAAAAACAATAAATTTGTATTAACGACTGTGATGAGAGCTTCCCACCTTAGCCACCTTAATTTTGGCGCGACTGGTAATTGATAATTTCTCAATGAATAATTTAAATTTGGTCACAACGACACTCGTAGGCGGAGAAGAAGCCTTTGTCCCGACTACATTCCAAGCCGAAATGAGACCATAAAATTCACTTTGGAGCCGAAAGTCAATCGAGAGTAATAAAACTGTTTGAATGCTGAAAATTGGAAACTTTTATGGCGGCAAACAGAAAATTTGGGTTTATGGGAGAGGAAAAGCTGGGAAAAGCTCAAACACCTACGGCGATTATTCTAATCATTTGCATTGTTTTCGGCCCATCTCTGGAACTTTCCGTTGGGGGGATGTTAGGGGATGCGCCTTTACCCAGAGCCACTGCCCAGCCCCCAGTAACATGTTCGACAGTTCAATACAAATCTTTAGGCCACTCACACAGACACACGGTATGTCATGGCAAAAAACTGGATGCTAAAAACCAAATTCCCATTTGACCATTTTGTCTGGAAACAATAAAATGACCTCTTCCACACATACATACACACATACTGGCACTCTCATCCGACGATACGAGCACACATGGTCGGAGAGCAAACATACGGAATCCCATAAATGTTGCAAATGGAGCAACAGAGTGGAGTTGTCATGCAGAGGCGGAATGCCATCCTCCAGCCATGTTGCTGTCTGGAACAACAGAAACAACTACACAAGGATATTCCTTTTTTAGACTTTTTGGCACTTTGCGAAAACCAGAGAGCCAGAGAAGGAGACGGAGACGGAGAGCATACCCCAGTGTCTCTTGCGACTCGGATGAAGGTTACACAATCTAACCGCATTAATGCCAGGACAGTACGGGTACGGGTACGGGTACGAGTACGGGTACGGGTCCGGGTCCAGTTCTGAGTTTGGATCCAAATGTGTAATTGTTGCCTAGAGGATTTGCAAAAAGATTTTCACTGTCATTTGAATTGTATTTAGGGCTTCATTTACTGAACTCCTACTCACAGTGTTTACTGCCATAAATGCCTGCTCTCTAGTCTGTTTAAATTGAAATTGAAATTGCCTCTGTATGGTGGGAGTAGCTGGCGTGGATATGATAGTTACTCGGGGAGAGTCAAACAATTAAAGAGCATGAGGGTACTGCTGATGCTGATTCTGACGGAACTATCGTTCGTTGAGCTCTGTCAGCCACAGGAACATGGAATTCATTCAACATTTACTTGTCGAGCGGCTCCCGAGTGCCAAATCAATCAGTCCGTAATGCATAAATGACACGGGCAGGTCCGACCAACCTTCACTCTGGGATGTGCGACGACTCTTGTCCAGCTGTCACACATGACCATTGTGGCTAATGCGGTCCCTTGTTGCAGTTCAACCATCACCAACATTAGAATTCCTCTGTCCCCAGTCTATGTCTATGTCTATGTCTCTTTCCCTATGCTTTTCACATTAGCCAGACAGGATGAATGTGTCCGAGGCAGGGCCCTGATGATGCCTCAGTAGTTGACTGTGTATAAATTTTGAATTAATTGGTGGCTGGTGAACATTTTTGCCTGCAATTTATGCTTTTCTGCCAGCTATCATTCTTCCTTCCGTCAGGCTCTGATTTTGGGCAATTATTAACTGGCGAAAAGAGCTTGCACTGATTACTGTTGAAGCCATTTGTTTGGCCGTAATCGCTGTACTAGTAGCACTGTTCTCCAGTAAGCTCCTGTCGCTGACAGTCCACAGCTTAATTAAAGCTCTCAACTGTCGAAGCCTCTGGCTGGTGCTTCATTGTCTTGTCCTTAACTTAATAGCCATTAAATCGCTTCTCTCCCTCTATCTCTTTAGACATCTTCGGTACTGCTTTCCCACTCAGATAAGCTGGAAAATCTGTTTTCGAACTTAATTTGATTATCTTTTGTGATCGGAATAAGCGTTTGTCCAATTTAATTCCCCTTTAAATTCACTGACCCACTTAACCGGGCGCATTCTTATTCAATTTTTTATCTCATGCTTGAGTAGTTTTATAATTTTTTTCCACAGCCCTTCGTCCGGGTCCGTCGGTGATTAATGACTTGTGAGGAAAAAGTGAAAGGTGCGCAAAAGTTTAAGAAGAGCAAAAGGAAAGAGATCAGCAGGGAAATTAAATTCCATGAGTCCTGCATGATTGAGTTCTATTGAGTGAAATGCAGTGCTAAGCTGAATTCTCTGTCCTTTATTGAGAATGGCAGAGGTAAGTCGTGGATTCTTAATAATGATGTTCTTTGTATTCAAAGAAATGGAAAAGAGTGTGATACAGTGCAGGAATAATCAAATAAACTCTAAAATGTTCTGTATAAAACCAATATTTCCCAAACTCCTAATTGGACTTGAGTTCCCATTAAATGGAAAATAAGTGCAACAACCATTTCCCCCATTTTTGTGGAAAAGAATTTCATGTAAAAGTTAATAATTGTTAAATTCCAATTTCGACCAGAGCTTCACAAAATTTCTGCATGTAAAATTCATACGGGAAACTTTTGCTCTCCTCTCCGGCCAGCTGCAAGTGAGAGCTCTCCACAGCGAACCGGATACATAATTGTGGATACTTTGTTGGATACCCCTGACCCTGCCGCTGCACCACCCACAGTAACACATCTAAAACCCCACTGTAATGAACTCTGGTACATTTTTGTGTTATTGACAAACGATTTTGGAGTTTTCCTTTTAATTATTTTCATTTTGTTCAAAAATAATCAAGTGCGGGCCCCATCCCATGGAATGGCACGAAATGAGAATAAACAAAGGATTGTACATTTCTATAGATACAAAAATCGTTTTAATTTGCCAATGATTGTGTCTGGCAATGGATTGTTCAATTGTTTAACTGCATAAACAATAAAAATGGTTGCATCTGAGTGTATGTGAGTTCATATGAGAGTGTGTGAGAGTAAATTAAAAAGCGAATGTGTCTTGTGCATATACTACAGCCATTGTTTTACAAGCCTTTTGTGGGGGTTGTAGCTGGGATTGCGATTGGGATTGAGACTGGGGGATGGGCCCCAAAGCCGAAACTGTCAGTGACAGCGCAACGTAAGTAATTTCGCGCATATGTTACGATCGGGGAGCCGATGAGGACTGATGGAGGGAGTGTGCCCTGGCCAGGCACCATCATCCGGCGCCCGCTTTAAAGCCGGAGCTCGGCATATTCATGGCTGCTGCACACGACAAATTGAATTTTATGCAAAAGCTTCCACTTTTCCTCCAACACACCACCACCAACTTCTAGTGCAAACTGTCTTGTCACCCATCTACCCCAGTTTTTCCCGCCTTTCCTGCCAGTCGCGGCGACATCTATGCCCCGTTCGTCTGCATTATAATTTGGACTTTTGTTTTTTTTACCAGCATTCCCCACTGCTGCTCCGCTCCTCTGAGCTTTTCCGCGACATTCTTGCTCTGGGTTATCCTTGTGTTTTGCACTTTGCCATTGCATATCCGGCCAAGACGCGTTCTCAATGCGGTTTTCTCTGTTGGCCCACTTTCCTTCGTATTCCTTTCAAGCGCTTTCCTTTTTTGGCTCTAGTTTCATTTTTTTGGCCAACATTGTGTGTGAAGGAGTGCCTTTCTTCGACGTTAATGAGAAATTACTTATGTTATCGCACTGTTAAGCTGTTTGTAGCGTCCAAACCTCTTTCCATTTTAAGGTTTTAATTAATGTCATTTGAATGGTAACAAACGTCTGTATAGGAGGTCTAGTTTTATTGTAATTACTAAGAGTTAATGCTTTCTAAAATCAAAATTTCAAATGAGCAATTTGCATAACCTAATGCTGAGTGCATAACGCATTTTTATTAACAATAGAACAATTTAGGCTTGTAATTGTAATTCTTCTGTTAACAGGACTAACAAAGCCAACACTAAATGTTGTTTAACAGCGGTGCTCTCTTTCTCGTCTGAGTAACAGACTCTCTCTTTCTCTGCTACCGCTTAACAGGAAGATGTGAGTGATGCAAAATCAAATATTGCGTATACGTCACGAAGTTTAACCGAAGTAAGTTCGGGTCACGATTCGCTGGACCATGTTAAGCTGTCGCCAGTTGGCTTAGTTTCCTTTTAGCCGGTGCCAAGCGTGGTACGTTCCTCGCTCCGTCACTTAACCTAAGCGAAACGGTTAACAAATTCAAAGATAGAAACTGATATGGTTAACAAACAAATATAACTTACAATGAGAATGGTCCACAGCTAAAATCGCTTGATATAACTTTGTGGTTGTGGTTTAATTAAATTGAAACTTGATTAACACTAATATTCTGGTGCACTCTAACGATTGCTATGGGAATAAAGATTTAAACAAATATGTTTATGTTTAAAGCAAATATGGAAAAATGTACAACCTCTAACCATCATAAGTGAAAGACTAATTATTATAATGCATTTTGTGTTCAAATTGAATAGAAATGACAAAAACTAAACCAAACTGAGATCAAAAAGATGGATCTACCGTATAGTCTAATACATTTCTTATTTGATAAGCTGAAAAGCAAATCAATAATACTACATTAACGGCAAGCCATTAAACAAACATTTCAGTAGCAACTAATTCAGTAATTAGTTGATCAATCAATGTTACAAAAAAAAAATTAAATTTTAATCAAACTTTTATTACCATAACAAGAGTGCAACAAACATGTAATATTTAATCATTCAAATCTCATCAATGTCATTAATAAAAATATTATAATGGCAGATCAAAATTAAGAAGAAATGTCACAATTGATGAAAAGCTTAAATCAAATGAAAAATGATCAGACCATAAACCATAATAAATTTGAATACTTCTCATATAATTAATCTTGTAATGCTATCAAAAAACAACACCCTTGAAAAATAGCTGATAAAATTCATGCCTACTGCTTGAAGTGCCTTTGAACAATAACAATATCAACATAATCATATATAATAATATGAAATTGCTGCCATAGTTACGAAATTGAATAGCAATTGCAATAAACTAAATTACAAGACACGAGAATTTCCCGCTTTCCGCGCCGCCGAGCAACGGCTACAATAATCAAGAAGCAGATGGCAAAAGCCAAGACCAAGACCCGACCGGGGACGGACAGCAGTTAGGAGTCTTCTTCCAGAGCGTGGGGCCCGAAACGGGAGTAGAAATCGGAAGAATTGTGTTAAATCATTCACACTTCCGCTGCTGTTTTGTTTGTGCAATCAATTTAATATTATTTGTGTTATCCAAGACAACCGGAGCTGCTCAAGGTCCAATTTCTTTTCCTTTTCCCTTATCATTTTCCCCTTTCCGCATTCGCTTCCCCTTAATGCATACAACTCATTCGTCCGGAACATTACATTTGTTTAACATTTGAGTTAACGCATCATTGAGCCACCGACTACTCCACGGCCATTACTTATGTATGGTGCTGGCATCTCTCAAGCTCCAGCACCAGCACCAGCTCCAGCTTGGACTGAGACTCAGTCTTGTGTAGACTCGCACTTAGAGCCCATCTGTTGGCTGAGACAAAACAGCATTTAAATCATTATTTCCAGCCAGACGTGGCAGAGGCCCCGACCTACCTACACCTATACCCAAGTATATCTATACTATACGTACACCTTGCCTGGCCATGGAGAATCCTTTCAATTCATCCAGCGCGTGTCCTGCATTTGTAAGTTGACTCGGAGGGCGTGTTGTTCCGTCTGCTTGGATTCCTGGATGCCCGACTGGCTGGCTGGTTGGCCATATGTACTCCTTTTACGCCCCACTAAACACCCGCATAAATAAATTTCGTTAATGCCAAATAGTCTGGGGCGTAAAAGAAAGATGAGGTAACACAAGCAGCCACAACAAAAAGGAAACCGGGCAAGCGGCAGCAGCATTTGGCCAAATGGAATGCCCAACCATAAGCTTATACAACGACACATACGAGTATCCAGGTTCTGGAAAACCTTTTCGCTTTGAAATCGCCCCGCTTTGGGAGAGCAAGAATTTAGATTCGAGTGTGGATTCATAGAGGAGTTAAAATAATGATATCTCACTTAGGTTAAAATCTTATTGTTTAGAAGAGTACGTCCATAGATAATCTATGATAATCGTTATACGAGAAATCATTTGATTCCCGGTAGATCTGTTAATAGTAGCTCTGTCGGTAAGAATTCAAATTTTCCAAAGAAAACTTGTTACTTACATAAAGGGTTAATTGATTCAATCCCTAACCCATTCTCATTTCCAACACTAGGGCGGTTTTCTTGGTAGTTTTCCAGAGAATTGTCATAGGTTGGAACACAATGGTTGGGCAACAAATGCCAAGAGGGCGCCCACATAGCCCCAGCCAACCGAAAACTTACACAAACATATCAAAACAGAACGCGGCACAGAAACGTTGGCCATAAACTGGGACTGGGACATGGGACTTAGGACCCAGAGAACGTTAGAAGATAGCACCGACGAGTAGTACATGACCCCAGCTCGGTGGACGCTTTGCGGGAGAATATTTAAAAGTGGCCACGTTGTTGAGTAAGGTCTGAACCACATTTTCTGCTTTTAGTTGTGTTAGATTATCCCTGAAAGCTTACCGCGTGCAAGCCCAATTTGAAAATATGTTAACCATGCGATTTTGCGCGCCAAAGAACCCACTGGGAGAAGAAGATATCGCTGCAGCTCGTGTCAAGATGTATAAGCAGTATTAGCAACAGCCACAACGATAACGAACATTGCCGGGGCCCAAGAGCCCCACGCGCAGGATAAATTTGCACAGGCTTCAGCTTTAGCTCCAGAGCAGCCAGACAGCCGATGTGACCCAGTTAAGGCATATTTAGCTGGCCAAGGAGACACCAATCCCAACCACTACTCCTCGACTCCTCGACTCCTCCACTCCATCAGCGAGCCAAGGAAACGGGAATCGCAAGTCGCGAATCGCGGAACGCGGAACGCACAACGCGGAACGTAGAGCGTTCCCGGACACAGCGTGTCACGGCGCAAGGATTATCAATTTGGTTGGCATTTTAATGGAGTTGGCCACGATGCGACGCGGCCTGATCCTCGTCTGGGCGATGGCTATGGCGTTGCTCGTCTGTTTGCCGGGTAAGCTCCGTCAAATATGAAATTATTTCTCACGATACATTTGTCGCATATTAAATTACTTTCTCTCACTCTCCTTCACTCACTTTCTCTGGCACATTTCTCCTTCTCTCTGCGAATCTTTTCCCATGCTTTTCTGGAAAAACAATTTGATATGCGCGACTTAAAAGCATTTTGCGGGTGAATTTAAAGCATTTGCTGCCGTGTGTACTCGTATCTTCGGCCTTTGTGCATATTTTAGCAGGCACTGTATGTCGTTGAAAGGGAGCCAGGGCAGGACATGGGTATTAGGCATTGTTCGCCTTTTTTTTACTGGGTTTGTCTGGGGGTCAATTTAAATTATGTTGGAATTTGTGCGCGGGAATTATGGGAAGAATGTAAGCTGTTTCTGGTTGTAGTCAAATAAGAGCAAACAAAATTCTTACGGAAAGAGGTGCGGGGAAATTCGCAAAATATATGCAAAATAAGCTTTAACCCCTCAACCGTTTGAGGTTTAATTTTCCAAAGGCACACATAGGTAAATTTATAATCGGAGCTCTGAGTGGGACGATGTAGTAACTTAAGTGAATACAATTAGTAGACAATTCAAAAATACATACCTATTTTAGGGTTCTGCCAAATCAATCAAATCTTTCTACCCAAAAAACATCGCCAAATTGTTAACAATTTGTACCTTTAACCATTAAAAATAAGACCCATAAGGACCCGCCCTTTGATGGAGTCCTTGAGCTGCAATGTTAAGCAAACAAAAAGCACAGAAGGAGAGAAAGGTAATTAAAATCAAAATGGCAACATGAAAAGGCACAAATTGGTAAACTAAAAGTACGGGAGGGTGAAAGCATAACGAAAGTGACTCTCGACATTTCCATCAATGAACCAAACTCGATCAAACGGTCCCCGCCCCGCCCCGACCCGCCCAAAAACCCCGCCCCCGTTTTTATGTGCAATAGAAAAAGTTCGAGTGCAGCGGAAAAACTGCAAAGCAAGGCCGAGTGGTGGGTGAGCGATGATGGGTGTGGCTGTGGATGCTTTAAATTGCGTTAAAAGCTTGGAACTTTGATTATCCCCGATCCCCCGTATCTTCTGGCGATGGACCTCTAACCCCATTTTGGTTGTTCGATTCGTTTGGCCATGAAAGTGATGGCCGAAACGCCAGAGGAGATTCCGGCAATTGAACGAGAAATAACAACAATCAAAATAACAAGAGAGAAAGAGCGAAAAAAAGTTAAAAAGTTTTACTTTTGTTTAATCAAATTCTGTTGGCCAGTTGAGCATCATTCAGAGCCTGTAACCAAAAGTGAAGCCAGTCTGGAAAGCAGGCTCATACCCTCGAGAACCCAGGCCCCGAAGCCTGTACCTAGATCAACCGCAGACCCGGTTTCTCAGTCACTTATTCTACACCCACTGTTCACTCTTTCAGACTCCAGTGGGCACTCTCTTTTGCTCACTTTTTCTAGCCCTCTTTTACCCGTTTTGGACCCCACTCTTGCGCCCCTTTATTGGAATTTTGTTGGCTTTTTGGCCTGCTAGCCATGCGGTAGCGATAAGTTGCTCAAGTCTCGGGTTATAATCCCACGAGATGCCATTCGGTTAGCCGCCAAAGTGGCACGCCCCGACTTAAACGCTTAACAACAATTATTACACAAAGTTACGGCCCGGTCCTGGTTCTGGTTCTGGGCTGCCTTCTGCCTCTCGCTAGAGGGTGCCCCGAAACTAGGCCGGCATTTTGATGAGAGTGTCCTGTCTTGTCCGCATCGTGTCGAGTGCGGTGTGGAGTGGTGTCCCATTGAAGTGTTGAAGGGAGATTATGGCCGCACCGGGATGCGGTGCCTTGGGGTTAAGCCAATTTCCATCATCATCATCATCAGCATTAGGCTCATCATCTGAGCAACATGCCCATCATAATTAGGAACAGTGTCGAAACGTTGTCAGAACCCGGCACGGACCTCAGAGAGACATCATTCAAAGTACCCCTGCCGGGAAGATACACTGAAAGAAAGGCTCTCTCCCTCATAGCGATTGTGTGGTTCTCCCTCCCAATTAAAAACAATCATTTTGTGGAAAATTGCTACTTTTCAGCTGCGATTTTCCGCATAGTTCTTGTTATTCCTGCTGTTATTTTTGTTGATTGTTGTAACCCTAACAATAACGAAACCTTAACAATAACAACCAAGTACCCAAGAACAACAATGGTGGCGGCAGAGGCACTACGGTCCTCGGACCAGTGTAAGGAGGCGTTTGATTAAAACACTTTCGCCTAAAAATGCCCGCGGGACTTGAGCCCGGACTGCTCGGTTAATTTTGGTGGAGAGAATGGGAAAGGCACAGCAGAGCTGCTTCTCAAGTTGCTCGGTAGCTTTCCCCTCTCCGCTTTCTCGCACCCTCGCCCTCTCTTCTCGTCGACCCCAGTCGAGTCAATGAAATTCTGCGTGATGAGGCTCATTTTATGTGTGAGTTTCGCCCCTCTAGTTCCCCAGTTGCTCGCCTGCAAGGCTCATTACGCAAGTTTTTCTCCATTCTCCATCCTCCATCAAGTGCTCGACTTGATTTCCCTCTCTCTTGCCGGCTACCAACACTCTATTCTCTCTTAACTTTTCTGATATACTTTCGGAAGGTAATATGACTTGAAGCAGACGCTTGAATGGCACAAATAGTTGCGTTTCTGACCTTATAAAGTGTTTATATTCTCAAACACAATTAACTTTCGCTATTCGTGTTCTGTATCTGTAGCAGCGGAACAAATCCTGGAAATGTAAGAGTATCTGGCAAGTCTTCCTGGGCCTTACTTTCTTATTTTGATTTTATTTTTTACTTTGCGCACAATTTGTTTTTGCTGTGGTGTGGCTGTGTTCGTGTGTGTTTTTACAACTTTTTAGTTTGTTTCGTTTTCCTCTCTCTCTTTTTCGCGCACACAAAGATTAAGCAAATTTTTATAAGGCTCCCCCAAGTGTCGTCTCTGCTTCGCCCTTACTCTTCTGTCTGCTCACCCTCGCTGACACTGTCCTAAATGATAATTTTTTTCTTAATAATTTCAGTATATTATTTTGTTTTCATTTTCCCTCGGTTTGCAGCCGGTCCCAGGGTCTTTCTCCCTACTTGGAATCCTCCTGTTTTATTGCACTTTTTTACGCTGTTTTGATTTGTTTCATCGCTGGCATACACGCCCACTTCCCACCATCCTACTGTGCCGCCTTCTGTCTCTGGCCCTACTGCGCTGCCTTGGACTTGGTGTTGACAGCTGTTGGGTTTTATATGTATATGTGTATTTGCGGGCAAATGAGTTGAAGTCGTGGACAGTGGGTTGACTTACGTTGATAAGGAGATAAAAGAATCCAAAGGCTGTAGACAAGAGATATCTAAGGGCGAACAAAAATTTGATTAATTGTGGGTTAAATGCGATTATGTTTCATTTTTGTATTACTATTTATGCTTAAATAAGTTTTAATTAAAATAAAAAATATCACTATAGCGTTCTGTAATGAGATTAAATTAAGTACCCTGCTACATTTCGCATTTAATTGCTTGCAAGCAAGCTTTAAGCTTCAAGACTAATTAGAGTTTTCACTCATAGTTAGCTACTTGCCCCACTGTCCTCGAAGGGAAATGGAATTTTTGCAACTTTATTATAATCAAGTTGGCTGCAGTGCATCATTAGTGCAGGCAATTAAAAAGTTTTTTATATGGAATCGCTTTATCTTTATTGCACGTACACGAAGCATAAACATAAAACATGATAACGCACACACACTTAAACACACTTGAACACACTCACACACAGATACATCCACACACACAACTGCAGACTGACAGAGAGAGAGAGAGAGAGAGAGCACCCCCGACATAGATATACGCACGACTTGGTTGGGGCTCGTTAAAGGAGGCTTTCCGAGTTTTGCATTTACTTTGAGCACAACAAAATGCTCAACTTGATTAGGATTCTCTCCCTTTCCCATCATGGCTCAATGGTTAACGGAGAGCACTTTCCCTTGCACTCTCCCTTTCACTATATCGCTCTGTATATCCTTGTGATCGCTGTTCATTAGTTGATTAAGCGAAAGTTGTGTAATTTCTTTTCTGAAAATATTTAAGAAAATTATTGATGTATTCCCTCTATCCCATCATTAATGAAGAGTACATTCTCTCAACTCTCCCGCTCAGTCTCTTTTCGGATCGTTTTTCATTAGTTTATTGAGAGAAAGTTACGCATCCGCCGCTTGTGCCACTTATTTGCTCGGAAAATCAAAAATTGCACTCAATTTTAATTAAATTTCAAGAAAAGCATTGCCAGAACCTTTGCTCGACTTTCTTATCTACAGGCTGCCAAAAATGGTCCTCTTTTCCGCTCCCTCTGTCTATCTTTGACTTTTGGAAAAGTTTACTTTTGAAATTTATGGCGCCAATTTGGCAAATTTACGTGCTACATGTGCATGGAGGGTGCATCCGGGTGGCAGTGGCAACCAAAGAGCTCTCGATTTGGTTGCAAGGCCAACAAGTGTCATAGGTGCATAAATTATGGCCAATTCTCATGCGAGTATATAGTATATTTTATTGCAATTTTTGGCGGAGTATTGGGCCGCCATATGGCTAGGCTTACCCTTCGGTATCCGAGGTCTCCTTGGGTGTTGCTAGGGTACAATCACCGACTGTAATCCCCCAATTAACAGCTTTCAAGAAGAGCTTGATTTTCGGTTATGAGAGGATGGAAGGACTTTATTGTTTCCAGTCTGATTCCCCATTCAATCAATACGAGTACCAGATCGTAATTAGCTAATTAATTTCGTTTAAGCTATCAATACCGCTCCCAAAGACTTGACTTGAAGACTATTGTGCGGGAGCAGAGACCCACGATGACGATTAATTTATTGAACAGACATGCTCCAAGGCCGTAAATCGTTTTAATTGTTGTTGGCCAAAACTCGAGACAAATGGGGATCAAGGCATTTGAAATATATCTAGGCCCTCCAGAGAGAAGACCTTAAACAAAACACTAAGTCATTAATTTGCACTCACAATCTATTTGTTCTCCTTTTTTTGTTGTGTATCTTTCAGCTGCCAGCGGGGAGGGGCCTGAGCCTGGGCCAACATCAATATTAAAGAGCAGCGGGATAAATGGCCAGACATTTCAAAGAACTCAATCAAAGCGCGAGGCGACAGCTAAGGCATCGCCGGCATTAATTTCGGCGACAACGCAAATGACCCAGGCAAATGGGGGGAGTCCAACAGCGATTGGGAATACAATAGCTGCAGCTTTGGATGCAGCTTTGGATGCAGCTCCTCCAGCCACCAACGATGTCATCATTAATAACATTAACAACAATGGATCGAAGCAGGCCACAGCCGCAGCCGCAGCCGCTGCCACAATGGCCACTGTGACCGCTGCCCTGGAGGCGAATCTTATTATGAGCAATCGGAATATCCAGCAGCAGCAATTGCCGGAGCACAACTATAGAATCACACACGGAGACAACAATGCCACAACCATGACTGCGGCTGCCACAGCCGTAGGAATGTCTGCGAATGCATCTGCCACCGCAATAACAGAGCCAGCAACGACAGCCCCAACGACAACGACGACAACGAGGAGAACAACACGCAGGCCAGTGGCAACAACAACGCTAAGGCCGCCACCAACAATAGATGATTACCAGACAATAATTAGCCAGGCCGGGACCCATGCCTATCTGCCATGCAACGTAAGTTCCGCTCCGTTCCGTTCCCTTCCATGATCCCATTCCCTTCAATTAGATTTCACTACTGATTGGGTTTCGGCTTTGAAATGAGAAGCGAGCGAGCGACGGGTCTGATAGCAAGAGCAAGAGCAAGAGCAAGAGAGCAATCAATAGCTCATCAATAGCTTCTAGGGGGAAATCAACAAAGGTAGAACTGGGCACGAAATTCCCTGAAAATTCAATCAGCCAGCCCAAGGAAAACTCTTTTCTCCTCTGTTTATTCAACAGAAAATTGCTCGCTGTAAAAATATTTGCTAAACATTTTTTATTAATCATTGATAATTCATAATAGGCAGCTGATTATACAGGTCTCTGCTTCTGCCTCCGCCCTTGCCATATCAGGCCTCGGGGTTGGGGTAGAAATTGGCAAAGGGATCGCGACTGGGGGTGGGGGTTGGGGCGACCGACTATGGGAAGTGGCATCGATTGGCCCGACTTCCGATTTGAATTTTTTCTCATTCCGCCGGGCTCCAACTTTTTAGCGCTTTGAACTAATTTACGCTGGCCGCTGTCGGAACTGAGGGAAAACAAAACCGGAAATTGCCGATGTGGATGCTGATGCTGATGCCGAAGCCGATGTGGATGCTGATGCCACGCCCTGGCCAAAGGGCATACACAAGCAGTTCAAGTGGCAGAGGCAGCGGAAGACACATTATACGCTTAAAAAGGGCTTATGTAATATTGAGTAGAGCTTTGAAAATCAGAAAGGGAATAAAATATATGTATATATACAAAAATATGTATAGATTCAACATCACGGTATCTGGATATAAACTATTGGTCGAAAAGCAAGTTTTTATATGAAAACCCAGATTATTTCTAAGAATTGGAATAGAAAAAGTTTTTTTAAAAAACTAGTAATTTTGTAAAACGAAAAATGTGGCAACAATAGTCCAAGAAAATGTTACATATTGCAGATTTACGTGCATATGCGTAGCTATTTGAAATCATGGTTCAAAAAGGGTATCTCAGGTTTCGGCGAGTCTAGCCAACATCTTTTCTTGTTTTTGTTTGAAGCTGCTCAAAAACGATGACCCAAATTGTTGGCACTACTCGTATATACGTTTATGTATGTATCTGAAATATATAAGTGTTTATGTACGCACGAATCGGTAGAAGGATCAGGGGAGTGGGGAGTGGGGAGTGGGGAGTGGGGAGTTCGAGAGAGCTGCTCTGGCATCCGCTAATAACTTAGTTACTCACTCGCTCCTTGGCGCTGTGCCTGCTAAATTCAGATCCGCATGCACATCCGCAGCTGCATCCACAGCTGCATCCGTATATTCGCGTCTCGCATTGCAAATTATAATTGGCGCTGCTGGATGCCACTGCTACAGTGGCACTGCCACACTGCTGCTGCCGCTGGTTACTGTTTGGCCAGGAAATCACTGGCAAGTGTCTGTTTGCAGAACTTAAAGTTGAAGAAATAAATATTCCATCTAGCTGACAACTGCAGATGCTCAAACACAAAACTGGGGATACACTCAGCTGATGCTTATTCAAATGAACTCGAGTGTAAAGGAAAAGCAGCAGGGAGTAAAGGGAGGGATGCGAGGTTCTCGGTTTAGTTTAGTTAATTAAAAAATGCAACTTTGCAGGGGAGTGGCAGGCACAAAATGTTTTTATTTGCACACCTTTGAAGTCGAATACATTTATCAAAAGTATTTTTTCGATTTACTTTTTCCCCTCTTCATTTGGAATCGTTATTTGTCTGGCTTTTGGAAAACGGAAAAGGGATATTGCTTCAATAATTGTCGGAAAATAAATGGAAATGTTTTGATATTAAATATTGTTGAAGAAATACAAAGTCAAAATAATTATTTATGGTTGTCTAAAATACACAAAGGCAAAGAAGGTCATGGAAAAGGTTAAGGATATTTGTAAGGTTTCATTTTATTGAATATTCAGCTTCCAGTCGTCTCTTCTATTCATCACACCATTCTCCCCAAATTGGTTGGCAAACTACCTGAGTTTTATCCAAACTTTTTTTTTAGCAATATTAGATATTGATCTAGAATTTGGATACCATACCTTGCTACCTCATCCACTTCTCAACTACAAATAATCACAATGAAATAAATGCAAAATAAATCTTATATAAAATCGAATTCCCCATAGCTCTGCATCTTCCCCTTAGCGCTGAGCTCCTACCCACTTCCAAACCTCCCCGCAAAAAACAATCTACTATAAAATATTTATCAGATAATTTGAATACACCCACATACACACACACTCCGAGCTCACTCGCTTTTTGGCTGCTGGAATACTCGTATCGGCATCGTGCGCGAATAAATATGTATATGTATGTATTTATATACTCGAAATAATCTTCAAATCTGCTTAAACCTAATCAATTAATAATACATTTCGGGACCGTGGGCGTCACAAAGAGGAGCCGCACGGGGCACACAAAAAAAATAACGAATCGAGACGATACAGAAAATAAAAGAGAAGGGAACCCGCAAAAATTCTTTGCCTGCGAGCACTTGAATATTTTTACACAGAATCGACAGCCATCATCTCTCCACCTCTCAGAAAAGTCTGTCATTCAGTCTTTTCTTTCCTTTTTTTCCGGCAAAGTCAGCGAAAAGTTTTCTCTCCAATTTTTGTTGTTGGTATGTTTTTGCTAAGGATATGAAGGCAGGCACTTTGAGGTGTATTGTTGTGTGAAAAGAAAGAGGAAGACCGTGCACTGAAGAACCAACAAAATAAAAGAAATTATTTGCAAACAAGTTTAGACGAAAATTCGCAATGTTATGAGCAAACTTTGTTGTCTGCTCGTCTGTGATGGAAAACGATGCTCTGCAGACAGGGCCTCAAACCAAACCAAACCAAACCAAAGCCGACGATGACGGCACCAGAGGGAACATAAAACCAAACGAGACAAGGATATGGCCATGGATATGGGCTACGACCACGGCTATGGCTATAGCTACGACTTTGACTAGAGTTTCAGTCAAGAGTTCTTGTGACATCAAGGAAGTGACACAGTTTGAGTTGCAGTCTAAAACTAATTAACAATATTTAAATGGCAAACATCTCGGGCATCTTGATAGTCCGCCGTCCACAGAAGCCATCACTTTATGGCGAGCTGAACCGCAATCTATGCCAAACAGCGAAAATTTAAATTAGCTAATGCCAGGGCCATGTAGCCGGGAGTGCCAAGCCGGTAGCAGTGCCACACAGGGATATTTGTCAGCCTCAGGGACAAAGCCAGAGGGAGAGGCATCCCCATTGCCGCTTGGGGCAGGTCTCTTACTTACACTTGCCACGTACTCGAAGTCTCCTGACTTGGCTGGCTGCCTGCCTGCCTGCCTGCCTGCCTGCCTTCCTGCCTTCTGACTGGATAAGCATCTTCACTTAATACCGAGTATAATGTCGATGCTGAGCCCCGATAATAATGTCCTCAGACTCCAAAGAGTCCGTGGCCGTGGCAAAATTTAATAAACTCTCTCTCTCCCTCTCCCCCTCTGGCCCGTGCACAGTGACTGCGATCAAATGATTTTTCGATTTGGCTCTTGATAGGTGGCCAAATCATAGTATACGTACAGGATTTAATCAGTGAAACTCAAAGAATACCGTCGAAAGTATATGTAATTGCACTTATTCAAGGGAAAATAATTAAATGTGCCACTGTATTGTGGGAAAAGCTCTACTCAAATGCCATTGTCCTCTTAAAAATGAGAATAGAAGAAGATTTTCGGTTGAATCTCACGATTTTCTTTGATGATTCCTGTCGCTGCCTTCCAGGTGATGACAGGAAGCTCATATTGAGATGATTTGTCAGTCAAGCGGAGATGTTCATATTCATTTAGAAAGGATAGTTTTTGACAGCACGTGCTCCAGCAGTAGTAACAATTCCACATCCACTGTCTAATGCCACTGCCATGGCGACAACCACGACAACAATAAGACCAACAACAAGGACATAAAACCCAAATGATTATGGTATCTAATCATGACGTTGTCGTTGTCGTTGTCGTAGTCGCCGACGTCGTCCTCGTCGTCAGAGTCCTTGTCTGGGGGCCCTGACACCGACAATGTAGTTGATGGCAGTGGTTCAAAGACTGTCATTTGCCTCTGTCACGACGCGCCAGACGCCTTCCTTTTGGCCAGTCACCACAATGACACCCACTCCATTGATTATGATACACTGAGAGAACAGTTTGACGATTCGGTGCATCATAATGATATCTGGCAGGTTACGGTTTCTTCAGTGTAATTAGTGTAGTACCTCTCAGTGTCTCTGCTTGCAAAGTGGCCCAACAGATAATGTTTATTCATGTAAGGTACGGGCGTATCCTTACAACACGTTTCCCTGAGAAGGTAGGGAGGGAGGGACTTCCCCTTCATTGGACCGTATTTAATGTATATTATTTTGTTTTCGTTGAGCGAAGAGGAGGCCCCTCCGACAAATTGCTACTAAATTATTATTGCCATTATTGACACAAATGAATCGACGTTTTGTTATCGTTATTGTTTACCGTCTTCTCATTGACCCAAGCCCAAAACCCTCCTTAACCACCAATTTCTCCCTCCCTCCTATCCTCCCGTTAAAGTTTACCCAAGAGCCTTGCGAGAGCAGAGGTGGATGTGAAATGAGCCTCAGAGCAGAGAGGTGGTTACGACACAAACATGGCAAAGTTCTGCTGACATTATCATCATCATCATCCACTTCCTGCTCCGGGGTCTCGGACAGCTGGGATTTACTGTTTGAATTGCTCTCTGTGTGTTTGTGTGTGTGTGTGTGTGTGCGGGTGCTCAGAGAGGAATAATTGAATCAATTTCAAAAATTGAAACCAAAATTTCGAGCCAGTGCCCGCTAATTGAAAGTAAATTTGCTATACCATTCGGCAGGTCAAACAGCTGGTGAAGAAGCCCATCTCCTGGCTACGCATGCGGGACGGCCACATACTTACGGTGGATCAGACTACGTTCATTGCGGATCAGCGGTTCCAATCGGTCTTCTCACCGAATCCGGAGAGGTGGTCTTTGCAGATCAAGTATGTTCAGGTCAAGGATGAGGGCACATACGAATGTCAGGTGTCCACGGAGCCCAAAGCCAGTGCTATTGTTCATCTAAGGATTGTGGGTGAGTATGGTTGGGGATTGAGGAAAGATGTTCTTAGTTTAAGGGTGGTTTAAGGGTTTTGTTTGTGTAAGTCTCTGGAAGGGGTCCCTCCAAATTTACACTACTTTATCTGAAGCTATTCTTTACCAATCTTTAATCTAAAATATTATTAACTAGACGCCAAATCTAGAAGCAATTATCTACCCACCTTTCACGTTTCAAAACGCTTCGAGAGGTGTTAAGGCCAAGATCTTTAAGAATTGCGCGGTTCCCATTAACTGCATTTACCCCTCCAAGTGAAAGTGTTAACCGGTTCAAAATCCAATTAGACATTTATCGAATTAGTACACAAGCGATGTACTTAACTTCGAGTGCTCGCCACTGGTTGTAAACCAAAACCGCTGCTCAAACATTCCATTGACCAAGTGGCCTCCACGAAATCGAAACTTAGACCAAGCCCAAAATCAAAATCAGAACTCTGACCTCACCTATAAATCTTCAATGACAGAGACAATAAATCAATGACCGTTGCACTTGCGACTGAGGCAAACTTTGAGGCTGCCTGTGAGTGATTGTCCTTCCGCTAACCCACTCTCTATAGTATATGTGTGTGTCTTTCCTCTTTCCTCTCAATCCCTCTCTCAATACAGAGCCGAAAACCGAATTAATTGGCGAGTCGACGCGCCATGTGAAGGCCGGAAGTCAAGTGAAATTGCGTTGCATAATTAGCCAGGCACTGGAGCCGCCGCTTTTCATTAATTGGTTTTACAATCAGAAGCAAATCTATTTGCATAATCGTCGCGGTTGGCGTACGGAAATTGAACGGATCGATCTGCCACCGGAAGTGGCAACCACCACAACAACAACGACAACGACAACCACTACAACGACTACGGCTCAAACGACGACAACAACCGTGGCAGCATCAGCAACAGGAGCTGCCACATCATCGGAGTCTTCTAATGGTTTGGGTACCATAACCCGCTCATATATATTAGATGCCATATCCCTGAATGATGTGGCTGGAGTTGGAGTCGGAGTCGGAACCGGGACTGGAGCTGTCAGTGAAATGACAACGGCTCCGGCAGTGGCTGATGGAGGATTCGATATTGCAACATCTTTGGCTGCTGGTGCTGGGGCTGCCACACCCACAACAGCAGCCTCCGTGCTCACCTTGGTATCCACAGCAACCACACAAGATGGTGTTGCATCCACAGCAGATACCACAGCAACAACAACCACTGGGCTGCCAAGCACAGAGACGGCAACGGCAGCAGAAGAGGCAGCAGCAACAACGGTGATGACTACAACAATGCTGCCAAGCAGCAGTTTCATTAAACAGATAACGGTAAGTGGCTTACCACATTTGTGCCACTCCCCCCACATCAGCACTCTGCCCCATCCTTCACACTTGCCACTCACCCTTATACCCAGTGCAAATTTTCACATTAAATGCCTTTTCATTACGCAAATTGTCGTGAATGCGTGGCAGGTAAAATAATTTGTATTATTAAATTTTTACTGTCAACGTTTGTCAAATTATAATTTTTAATATTGCCCCAGAATTCCATTCCCCTCCTCCACCAACATCCTGCCAGAAGCACGCTAGTTCTTTTGTCTGACTACTGTCTCGACAACTGAATAATGAATATAAATATAAATATATATAAATATATTGTATACTTATATACTCCGGTACGTATCCGTGCGCCTTTTCAGACGGCATCTCTCATCATTCCGGCGGTGGTGAAGCTGGATTCCGGCAACTACACTTGCAGCCCCTCAAACAGTGCGCCCCGCACCATTGTGCTCCATGTGCTAAACGGTAAGGGGAACACGGGGAAAAAGGGGTAACCATATAAATGTATATATATCTATAGAGGCGCTGAAGCCGGGGCAGATCGGGGTTGCCTTAACTGTTTTCTGTATGGCTCTGCCAATTGAATTAAGTTTTCATTTAGCTTAATTGAATTTTATTCGGATGCGTTTTTGTTCGGTTTGACTTTTGATTTTCGCGAAATTTACGCACAGTGGTAGGAGATGTATGGGAATTTTTAATCTTGGTGATATCTGAGCGAAATCGATTGATAATAAAAAGCAGAGACATAAGCATATCCAAAATTGAACAGTAAAAACACTAAAAAGAAGTTTCGGCGAGATATCTTCGACTGGTTCCCATAGAAACGTACAGACGTAAGTATAAATATCCGTTGTTAACGCTGATCCAGAACACATATTCTCTAATGGATTAGAAAATGTTTTTTCTCAGAGTTTCAGTCATCGCATTACACTCTCTGAAAGAACAAATCATTCAATGTTACACCATTTTGTTTGAGGCTTTTCCGTGCCGCACAACCACTGTGGCTGGCTGTTCCGAGGGGTTCTTATTCTGTTTACACAATTTCCTACAATGGCAAACACAATGGCAGCGAAACGAAACGAAATGAAACCAAAACCAAACCAAACGAAACGAAACGGGACAACGGGTCGAGACGAAACGAAACGAAATGGTTGCAGTTTTATTGTTATCTCGAAAATAGCCACAAGTGCGTTATTTGCTCAATGTCCGCCGGGCAACAGGAGCAGTAGGACACAACAGAGTCCACCCTCCATTTTCAGGTGGAGGATGAGGATGAGGATGAGCCAAGGACGGTGACAACAATGACAGTGATGCCGAGGTAAATGTCCGTGACGCTGGAGATGGAGATGGAAATGGAGATGGAGACGGAGATGGCGATGACTGACCTATAAATGTCGTCTCCAAATAGTTAGCCATCTGTCTGGATATCCATCTCTCTCAGAGTCTGCCTGGCTGTCTCTGTTTGCTGCTCTATTTGTCTCTCCGTTTGGTCTAGATTGTCTCTTGGATCCCACAAATTTCCGTTTGTATTTAAATCGGTTTTGGGCTTCCCTTTCAGCTGACTGTTGGGGGTCCTGTTGCTGAAACAGTTCCTGATTCTGTTACTGTTTCTGTTCTGGATTCTGGACTCTGATCCTGGGCCTGCTCTTTCCTGTCAACTTTGACATGTGTTCCTCTCACATTTTTTGTGACGCCTGTCGTTTGCTGTTTGAAGAATGCTACTTAAAAGCTGACAATCCCCACTTTTCAGAGAGGCACTCCCTTTGAGAGGTAAACCAACAAAAAAGATGCTGAATGATGGTGACTGATGACACCTGACGCAGGACAAGAGCAGATTCATTTTCGGCCAAGAGCGACTGGCAGTTACAAGTTCCTAGCCTCCCAGACCAGACCAGACCAGACCAGACCAGGCTCGCTGACAATTCCAGGCTACAAATAATGGCCATAAAAATGCCGCCCTCACAGTGGGAGACTTTCGAGTGACGGAAAGGACATGACAGAAGAGCAGGAGGTGTCAAGTGGTGCTCATGTCTAGGCCAGAAAGGGCAAACAAAAGCCCCCCTCACTCAACACTGGTACGAGTATTTGTGTGTTGGCATTTTTTGAAAATTCAATTTACAATTTAATTTTCTGCAAAATTGCTCCATTGTAATGGAGACAACAAATATCATTTATAACAATGAATTAATGTATTTTTAATATTCGACTAATTGGCGCAGATAAAGGAAAAGCTTCGAGCTCTTCACTCTACCCAGTTCTTTCTCCCCATTAACCCCGTGCAAACGAATGAAAACATGTTAAAGCCCCCTGGATAATGAAAAACAATGCTCTAGATATGTGTGCGTGTGTTCGGGTGGGTGGGCGTGGCAGGGTGCGAGAACAAAATGAAATTATAGGCTGGAAAGAGCGCCTATGCTCTGCCGCCCCTGGATGTACTTTTATATATTAATACAATTTTACATACATGGATTTTATGCAAGCGCCAAAGGTTAATAAACTTAATGTCATTTCTGTGGCACAATGGTTGTGGCATTGTGAAATTGTTGCTGCTGCTGCTGCTGTTACCGCCATGACAAATGATTATTAATAACTTAATGATATTATCATTTATTTATTCAGGGATTTTTATTTTAATTGCACTCCTCTCTGTGATTTATTAAATCAGCAAGAACGAGTCCGTCCTAGTCCTGCCTCTCCTTCTACTCCATGTGGCATAATTAATTTGCTTATTTCCCCTGCACCCTGACGCTTGTCCCTTGCCACAGGGTAGTCTTCATCATGGAGTGGCAATGTCAGAGTGCGGTTGCCGTTTAAAATTATTCAAGTTTAATTATTTTAAATAAATAATTTCATACATATTTGTCAGGCACCGCGCACCGCATTGCATAACGCTTTTGCAGTTCGCTTTTATTTTTTAGCCATGTTTTTCGATGACTCGCCTGATTTTGTTATCGCTACAGTGGTTATGGTAATTGATATTTGGGTGTACTCGAGGGGTGTCTGAATAGCTGGCGAATACAACGTCCGACATCATTATTCATTTGGCATAATTGTGGTGATTTTGCTGACACTCCGCTTGATCGGGAGTACTAGTCTTGCACTATATTTCCAGAGCAATAGAGATTACAACATCACATTGAAGACTCCTGGTGCGAATAAACGGTTTCCCTTTACTCATATTCATGTGAGAATTATCCTTTAATTTCAATGAAACTCGAAACTAATTTATTATACATATTTTGGGGGGAGTTTCCGCGTGTCTAATGAGGTGGTGGGAGATCATACACACGTGCCAATCGGGTTTATTTGCTCTAATACTTTCAGTTCATTTTGGGGCCATGTTTATACAATTTCAACATTTGCTTTTGTGCGCATTTCACGCGAACGCCACAAAAATCCATCAGACATATTAGCTATGCACAAAATTCGGAAGCATACACAATCGCCCACTCGTGTTGGCCATTCAAATTTTCAATAGAAATATTTAATTACAATGGGCACTTTATTTGCCCAATCGAATGTAGAGGCTGTGTGTCAGTATGGATTCATTTACAGCCTAGAAATTGATTCTGATGGGTTCAGCAAGGGGAAATTGGTTGGATCCTAGTGTAATTATTGAATTAGTTTTCGTGTATGGCGGTGGGATACATGCTGGTTCGTGAAAACCGCAACATTTTGTACCCTCTATGATCAACTTTACACCTGAATTCTGTATTCCGCTCTGATTTCACATTTTTGCAGGTGAATATTCCGCCTCGGCCATTAAGTCGGGGAGCGTCAGCTGGAGAGTGCTAATTGGATGTCGGGGCTATTTGCACTGGCGGAATGTTTCAACGCTTCTGACACTTTTGTGGATTATTAAATTTGTGCTGGCCATGGAAATCTGCCAGTTGAGAGCCAACAAAGCCACCGCAACAAGGACACCCATCATCAGCTGCCTCCGGAGCAGCAGTGAGCGGACTCTGGGTACGAACATAGACCAGGTCTGCCGCTCAATCAGCGGCACAAAAGTGGCCGAGGACAAGACCTGAGTCGCGGGTGCTACTCACCTCGAATTTTATGCTATAAATGAGGCTATGAATTAAGATTTTATTCGATGTATTATCCCCAGAAAAAGACATAAGGACAAAAGACAGACATTCATCCCGAAATGCAATGCATACCAAATAGCTCCATGAATTATATGAATACATATACAATTAATAATTGTTTGCCGTGTGAATGTAAATGAATGTTTAAGATCAATATTTCTGGTGCCAGGCATATCGTATATTTCGATTTAAAATTTTCAAGAATTGTGTAAATAGCAGGCACAGTGTAAAACCCATAAATAAATTAAGAATATTTTACTAAATTTTTATCAATTGGAATCCGACATGGTTGTAAAATATTTCAGTTAAAAGAAACCAATAAATACTTAACAAAAAAAGAAAAACTATAAGCAAGAATAATATAAACCAATGGAACTGCTCCAGAACGGAAATACGATATATACAAATTAAGAATTTCATTCATAAATAAATTAAAATTAACCTTATATAAGATATTGCCTATAATTGAATTAAAATTAATATTTTACTTTACTTTACCATTTCAATGAGTTTCCTTGAACTATAAATTGTAAATATGTATGTATAACTTTGGATATATTATAAAAACCTGATTTCCCAAGACTAAACATTAAAACAAAAAAAAACAAAACAAAAATGATAAATAACTATGTAAATAGGCGAGTGGTACTCGTACTGCTGTTCGTTGAAAGAGCCCCCGCATTCATCATTAAACTACATGCATATACATATGTATAACCGAAGAAAGCCAAAAGAAAACTAAATGTACACATTAGTTAGTATATAAAAGACTTACTACAATTTTAGACGCAGTAAAACCGAAAAGAATAAAACCAAAACTTAATCAACAAAATAAACAGAATTGTATGGAGTTTTCTGCAACGTTGCGTATACTTGATATACAGCATCACAAATTTGAAATGAAACGCCAAGGCAAACGCAAACGCAAATGCAAAATTTAATTGAAATTGCGATGGTAAATCAATTGAAATGAAATCCAAGGAAGTGTTTGCAATAATTCTTAAGCCATTACAAATAAGTGAGATGCAAAAATAAATAAAATACAATTTCTTCAATGGAATTTTAAACTGCTTTTAGTTCTTCTTCTTCTTTGGAATATTATCCATTTTCACACTGAATAATAATCTCACACAACGCAATGTTGCGGTGTTGAAATGTGTAAATTAGTTGAGATATCTGTAGACCCCAAAAGGGTCAGAGAAATAGAGATGTATCTCCCTTTTTTCCTGGCAATATTCATGCCAACACATGCTCCTAGGTCCGGTTCCTGGTTTTCGGTCCAACTCAAATATTCAAACATTCGCCTCGGAACTGTGAACAAGTTTGTTAAATATTCATTCATACTCGTAGCTGGACCACAAGCCAGTCCGAGTCCCCACCGAGGTGTCATCTTCTCGTAAAGAACCCACAAAAAACCAACCAACAAAAAATACAAGAGAGAGGGACGGACACAAATTATTCACTCTTACAACACATTTAACTAACGACGGACTCCCTCAAATTTGTGACCATGCCACACCAACTGAATGTCAAAATATTTCCACCCATGACTCAGCAGGCAACTTTTTCCGGGGTGCAACCCATTTCAAGTAATACGAACAAAACGAAACGAAATGAATTCAGCAGTAATTTTCTGTGGTTATTGGGCAGGAAGTGGGCGTGGCCATGCATAAACCAACTTTTATGTGAGCTATATGGAATGTGGCTATACGGATAAATGGATTTTGGTTTCGGCATTAGTTGAGTTAAGAGTTCGTTTCCATAGTCAATGGGACCCCAATGGGATTTTGTGAATTTTAAAAATATTTTTCTCATCTTTGATTTTTGTTAATTTCATTAAGTGAAATGTGTACATAAACAACTTTATTTCTAAATTAAATTGAAATTTTAGCAGCATATTTATCTACAATTTTTAAAGAAATTTTATTTTTTCTTAGAGTAATTCTCTTGGTTGAATGTTTTAAATGAACAGATTACTATATTTATTTTAAGCCCATTTTCTTTCTCAAAAATCACACATTTTATGCAACTTCTTTCAGCATATAATACATCAGTTCTGAGGAATACCACCCATTAAAGAGCCACAATATGTCCACAAGTTGACCCACATTTTGTCGGGCAAAAGAATTATTTCCATCTTTGGAGTTCCGGACCCCCTCCCCACCATTAACATGAGAGGTTGCTCCATGGCGTAGGTGTAGGGGTAAGAAAGCAAATGGAAAGAGTAAATAGGAGGAAAATCAAAATGAAAATGAAAATCGTTCGTGGCATTTGTTTCACAAGCGTATGCAAAGTGCCTGAAGAGCTGGGAAAAGTAGTGGAAATTGGAATGCGAATGAGAACCGGAGGTGGCGACCCCTGAGCGGTGAAATGAGCACAAATATGGCATAAATCAGGCTGTACAGGGAGTATGTACAAGAGGGTGCTCTCCCATCACAGTACCCCCCTTTTCCAGTGGATAAATCACCCTCTCCTCAGTCGTTGTCAGCCAATCATAGTTTTCACACTCTAGTTAACATCATTGTCACCGAGTTTCAGTCACTCTCAGCCACTGTACAGCGAAGAGATGGGAGAAAAAAAATTGGTTGACGTTTGCAGTTTGTCTCTTACTTTCCCTCTCTCTTTCTCTAACGCGCCTCCTTTTCACTCGCTCTTTCTGGCCCAGTCTCTGTATTTGGTGCACAATTTTCCAACGAATTTCCATTGCGGCCACCCTTTTCAAAAGGAATTCTGCGTTTGTCGTTTTAAAAATTTCACCAACGTTGACATTTAAGTTAATTTGCATACTACCGCACGAAATTTGCCCCTGATGGCGGTGTGGCAAGGCTGCCTATGATGATGGTGATGATGATTATTATTATGACAATGATGAGGGGGTCGGGGTCCTGGACCAGGACCATCATTGAGCATGAGGACTCGTATTGTCTCTGTTCTGGGCTATGCTTTTAATGGGTATGAATCGTCGGCTCTCTATCTCTTTATATTTTACTCTCTTTAAGCACTTTTCTCTGCACCTTTGTCTCCACATCTACTCCCCCATTCTTGCTTTGTCAGTATTTAAAACTAAATGTTGCCCAATTACACAAAGAATTTACATACAATTCTCGTTCCCATAAATGCAAAAATATATTTGCCAACATCTGCATAAACAGTGCGAGGCAAAAGTATAAGACAAATTTTACAGATGTTCGAATGTTAAACCACTCTCACTTGCTTTCACTTTTGGAATTGGATTCACTTTAAGGTAAGAGAAGAAAGTATAGTTTTTATAATCTCAACATCTTTTTTGTTGAGCGCTAAGGTTCATTTTGTTTATTGTAGTTCAAATCTGCAGCTCCTGTATCTAAATAGACTGAAGTTTCAAATTGGTTGTGCTCTCAAAAATGACAAGCCCTAATAATCCAATATACAGCTGTCTTATGGTCATGCCATATACTGTAGTCTATGAGCATTTCATGTTTCTATAGGTCCTGCAAGTCTTTTTGCGTCTGTCTTAGAATTTCTTCCTTTGTCCTATTTCTGGAGTCCTTCCGTCTGCCTCTATATTTATTTCTAAGCAATGTAAATTTATTTTAAAAATTAAATACAATTAAACAAGGCAGTTTGAGCAATGTTACGATATCCAATGGGCTACATGCCATCTAATCATAACACGTTGATGGCTCTTAACAGTTAAGAATCTCAGCTTAGGGCTGGACTATAAGCAGCCTCGTAGATTGCTAGATGCAGCAATACGCTGCATATTAATCAAATCCCGCGCTCAAGCTGAGAGTTGCTGCAATTTGGCTGGATTCAAAAGACCATAAAATATTCCGGTACCCAGCAAAGAATGACGGCATCCTCTGGCCCATACCGCTATCCCATCCCACATCCTCGTCACCATCACACGTGCACATCCGCCCCAGCATCCACATCCACATCCACATCTACATCCTCACCAGTTTCCACATCCCATCCACAAGGGATCACACTTGTCTATGCGCGTTTAGCACGATGGTTGCCACAAGGCTTTATGGTTGTGTGGCATCGCCGCACGGTGCTGCCACCCAACTCGTGGCACCCAATTTCCGGTGCTTGCGTAAATACATTATGCAGCTTACAACTACTTAACGGGGACCGTGGGTGTGGGTGTTGGGTGGGTGGTCATAAAATAGCAAATTCAAGGTGCAACTTTTGTCGATACACGGTCCTGGTCTGGCGCCTGCACTGACTGAAGCTTCTGGTCCTGCTGCTACTCCTCTACCCCATGCTCCTTGCCATATATGCAATAAAAGTGCACGGCAAAACTGTGAAAAAGGTGAAGATTACGCACTGAATAAGAATACACTCGCACAGCACCGTGCCACCACACCCCACAGAGGAAAGTTCTGCGAGAGAGCTCACACTCACACTCAACCAAAATCCAGGCAGACAGCCACACAGACAGACACTTTGAGGCACATGACAAACATGTGTGATACGCCACTTGCCCCTCGACAGCCGCGCCGCCATTTCTATCTGCATTTGCAACAACAGTCTTCCTTTTGCCAGCTCTCTGGCAGTGCCTCTGCCCCTACCCCACAGCCTGGCCCACTCATGAAAGTTAAGGACTTGCATAACTTCTGGCATTTATGTGCGCTTTTCACCTGCTTGCAACAGCTTCACCTACTTTCCCACTACCAACCGACGCCGACGCCAACGCCAACGCCCCTGCCCACACCCATCCATCCCATTCACACCCGGCTCCCGCTTTTCCATGCTTCATTACGCTAATGCCGTGTTTTCAAATTATTTTACATGCTGCCTCAACCATCCCCGCTGCCACATCATCCTGCTTGCAAGTGGAATTCTTTTCGTTGTTTGTTGCATATTTAATGGGGCTAGCGGAGGAGCGGTTAGAGCCATGGCTGATTAGCACGATGGAAACTAGTTTAGCTCACATAGTTCCGGGTTTTGTGCATAATTTAGTCAGAGATGATTAAACAGCTCTCACAGGGAATCAATAGAGAAGATATCCATCTTTTATAAGACATCTCATCAACGACATATAATCATAAAGAAAGAAAACGGCTCCCATTTGTAGGTAAAATCCAAAATGTTCACAACCACGACCTCTGGCACAGCCTTGCTCACAATTATACGTACAATAACTAAGATTGGATATCATCAAATTAATGAATGTCAAAAGCGAGTCTTTGGGGCTAAGGCTAAGGTGGCTATGGTCTGGCAGGT